GCATACGTAAATATGCATTCTGCACACACCTCATACGTTTCGAAGGGAGATTATACCCTTCTATATTGGCATTGAAGCCGAGCGACACCCCTGGCTGAAACATATTACTGCCTTGGCCTCCTGATTGTGTGGTGGTAGTGGATTATATTATATACACATGCGTGTAAGTCCATAGCTGCCAAGAATATATGTAACATGAACGTTGGTTAACCCACACACACTTGCACAAATGTATTGTAAACCAAAAAATACGAAATGGCTCACATTTGAACCGAATTGTAAAAGTGGACAACCACGAACATACCAACCTGAATACAATTACTTCATTTACATGTTTGCACAAATTATAATTTAGTACTTTGGCATAAGTAATAATTCGGGCCTCTAGCATCAAATTTGGATTGGGATTTGGATTTGGGACCCGTATTTGGCTTGCGCGCCGGCAAGACAATAACCTGCACGAACATTATCATGTAAACTCGTATCTACATGGAAACATATATATACACATGCAATATATATATATACATATATACCTATATATATACATACTATATAGAGATATCCATATGTACACATACTACATATAGATACGCATGCAATATATATATATACATATATACCTATATATATACATACTATATAGAGATATCCATATGTACACATACTACATATAGATACACATTTTTACATATACTACATGGAGATGTACATAAATACATAAATTAAATAGATACACATATATACAAATGTACATGTATTGCATAGAGATATACATATACTATATAGAGAATATACATATCCAACATGGAGATATTACATATAATATCTGTAAATACATATTTCTGTCGACACACGATTAAGAGAAATCGAACACTGCGACAGGATTTGGTCGTATCCGATTTGCACTATTGCATGCACTCCGACCACCGCCGACACGCCCATGACATGAAGAATTCATATCAACAAACTGAGCGGGTATAAAATACACCAACAAATTAGAAATTTATAATCGAATATATATATATATATATATATATCATATATACACACATAAACATAGCATACTTGCGCCATGGGCATGGGTAGTTGTGATTGCGAGCGGCTTGTCATTGGATTGGTAGTGGACATACGTGACATGATCTCACCGTCTTGTGTGGTGGGGACTGTTGACTCGGTGGGTGGTAGGTCTATGTCGAGTGTGAGCACATCATTCCATTCGGGTTTGTACAGCAACGCCCGTGAATTGCCTTGTGTAGGTAGGGATAAGCTGAGGTCGTTAGTTGTGGTTCAAGGGGGCGGTAGCATACATTCTTACAAACCAATGGGAATACTTGATTATTATTAGCCAATGAAAACGCTTGATTATAGTTAACCAATGGGAACGCTTGATTATTTTTAGACAATAGAAACGCTCTATTTTAAACAAATGGGAACGCTTGATTATTAACCAATGGGAACGTCTGACTATTGCCTAGTAGTGTGAGTCAGATAGTTTGATATTCATTTCAAGATGACAGTAGAAACGGAAAAGATATGACACAAGTGGTGAGAGAGCGGAGATTTCTAAAACCTAAAACCTTAATATATATATATATATATGTATATATA